TTTCTCTCTCTCTCTCTCTCTACTTCTTCTCTCTCTACTTCTTCTCTCTCTCTCTCTCTACCCTCCTCACTCTTTCTCTATCCTCCCTCATTGTTTCTCTCTCTACCCTCCCTCACTCCCTCTCTCTATTTTTTTTATGCAGTCCGGCACACTCGTTGCCGGTCTGAAATTTTTTTGTGGTTCGGCAAGGAGTGTGCCTAACCGCATAACAAAAAATGGAGAGAGAAGGAGTGAGGGAGGGTAGAGAGAGAAAGAGAGAAACAAGTGGAGAGAGAAAGAGAGATGATGGGTGGAGAGAGCTAGAGAGAAAATAGAGAGATAAAAGGGGGAAGAAAGAGAAAAAGGACAATTTTTTTCCAAAACTCATTTGACTTTTTGATTGGGGGGTAAATATAAAGAAAAATAGTGTTGGGGTTTAAGTATAATGCAAAAAGTATTAAGGGCTAGGATGTGTAGAAAGTTGATTTTGGGATGGTATTTATAATTTTCCCTATAATATATAAGAGGTGTGTAGGGCCTTGAAGGGGTTAATTCCACATGATTTTTAGAAACTAAAAGAGAGAAAAGCTTAGGCTTTTGAAACCTTAGCTTGGGGTTGTGGAAAAGAAACCCTAGGTTTCTTTGAATTATGCTTGAGTTTAGCTTTGTTTCTTGTTGATTTTACTGCTTCCTCAAATTCTCCTGCATCAACATGTGTCAAACAATCATAGATAAAGGCCCCCAACCCTAGATTCCCTCCAAAACACATATTAAGAACAAAAAAACTTCAAAGAAAATTCTTGATTGTATACAAAGATTAAGAGAGAAAGAAGACATGTACAACATATCCATTCGTCTATTTGCTTTTGAATGACATCAATTTTCTTAGTTTTAATCATTTGAATGCTTTTAATCATTTGGATGCTCTTTCACATATGAATATAATCATCATAGATTAAATTAAGGACGTCCACAAATAAAGAGATCAACAATAAATGAATTCCGATTAATGTGAACAGTCATCTGCTCAAATAATCAAACATGATCAGAAGTATGCTGCACTTTCATAACATCCAATTTATCCTACATCTGAAATCATGAAACATATCCCATAAATATACATCCATAAACATATGCATGTGCGCATGTGCACAAAGTGATCAAGAATGGAGAATGCTTAGTACATAGAACTTGCAAAGAAACGAGAATTTCAAAGCCAAAACTTCCCATGCTAACCTTTCCTAACAGCACTATCGTCCATGGCCTTGTACTCCATATTTTTCAAAGCAAGCTCCACTCCGTAACCACCCAAGTTCAAGGCATCCCCAGCACCGATGGCACCACAAGAACCAGCTTTTGATTCACAACCAGATGGAAGCACAGGTCTAACCACATACTTCACTTCTCCCTATTGACAAAATAGAAGACAAAATAGGAAATAAAAAGCCTGGCAACAAATAGATATATCCAAGAAGCCCACAAATACTGGTTCCAATTATAAGGTACAACTATCAAAGCAAAGCATACGCTCTTCAAAAAATACTCAAGTAACAAAAAGTCTTAGGAGAAGCTAACTTGATACATGTGTCAGTGAGTCTATACAGAAAGGGAGTAAGAGACATCTAAGTGCTTATCACGCGAGAGAGAGAAAAGTCGATGTGCACGAGTATACGTTTCTAATGTGTACATATCTGCTTTTGTGAATTGTGCATATATTAAAGTTCTAAACTTGGGGCCAAGTCGACTCGACTCCGGACAGACCAAAGATTCCAAACAGGTTAACCCGCAGTTTGGATACAAGTGTTTTTTGGCAAACATGTGGTTGGCGTACCAACGGAACCCGTCAATTTTGTGACTTGGATGAAATTTTGGGGTGGTATGATACCATCTAACTAAAAAATTCAATTATTTAACTAGGAAATCTTTTTGGGAAGTTTACAATAACATTTTCAATATAGTAATAATCTCTATATACTTCAAATTGCAACAAATATAACTCAAAATTATACTTAATTATTAAGATGATTGTTAGTATTCATTAATGCCCAACGTTTTAAGAATGCACAAGTTTTTATACACAAGTAATTCAGTCAAATATTGCAGCAAACTAAACACCATATTATCGTGTGATGATATGCATCATACTGTATTTCATTACTTTCCTTTCAAAATTTTATGTACTTATGATCCTCCACTAACTCGACAAAATGTCAAATATGCCTTCGACCTTTGTTCTCTATGTGATGCCCTAAAGACACATAAAGGAGTGGATAATATTGGGCACATGGGTCCCCCAAAATCTGCAAAAAGGTACATAAAGCACATTGTTCAAGGAATCAAGGGCTTCAAAGTTAAATTGACTATATAAACGGTAGAAGTAGAAAGGCCAAAAGAATATCAAGGCATCCAAGCTATTTAAGTTGTTCCCTTCATCGAACTCAATTGATTAAATTAGTGACTAGGATGAGTCGTGAGTCAATGACAAAACTACAACACATTGAAACACCAAATCATGTGTGGATTGAATTCTTACAATGCCTGCCATATTTGTTTAGTCCATGATCGGTTCCACAATCAAATATTACCAGCAAAAGTCTGTTAAACATTTGCAACTGGTAAACCTTATAAGAGAACAATAATATATTAGTGAATCCAAATTAGCTATCGAACTCTAGCCAAGATTTGAATGACCACTAACCAAATATTTTGAAGAGAAAATCAATCTACGAATCAATCTAAAAGGTTAACGTATTTTCAAAAAGTCAATCAGGATGCAGATCCAAAAAACCAACTCTTTTCATAAGGGCAATAAACTAATAAAGCTTTTGAGACAAAAAACTTTGTAACTCACTAAAAATTTATGCCAGAAATTTCCACACCTTCTTTGAAGCTTCTACAAGTGCAACATGAAACTCTTTAAAGCAGTTTGTCCCAACAGCTCCATATAAAATTACTACATGACTTCCGATACTTGACTCAAAATAAATATGATCAAAATCGAAAAGCTCCGGTTGCTCAGACAAATCTTCAGACCTGCCATGAAAGATAGACACTCAGTACACATTCCCCTAAAAAAAAGAAAGTATAAAATACGCAAGCACTAATCGTGCTAGAAAAATCAGCTAAAGCGCAAAAAGCACTAGATCAAGAAAATAAAAAATGTAACTTACAATCTTGAGGGTGAATCAAGCCACAAACGAAGCTCGGACACATCAAACAATATGGAGTTACCCGTGTCTACCCAGCAGCACTTGCCTCCAAGAGATTTTGGGTTCTGGCTTACGAGTAATTGGTTCAACTTTTTGTTCTTTGAGCTTGTGACTTCCTCAGGTATAGATTCATTTATGTCCTTAGTGTTTGTTTCCTCCCCTAATGGGAACGAGGATAGTGACTCCTTCGCTAATTGCCTGTAAAGAACCAACCTCGGAGATGCAGACCGAAGAGTGAGAGAGGATTCAAAGAGAGATGCCAAGGGTTCATTGAGAAGGTTGCGTCCATGATGTACAATTTCTTGAAGGCAACCTCTAGCTGTTAAAGAATTGGAATCTGTCTCTTTACCAAGCCAAGCTTCAACAAATTCCCAGTACAAGTCCTTCCACTCCTTTGAAAGTAATTCTCTGGGAAATTTAATGCCCAAATGAACAACAGATGAATTATGGAATTGAATTGACAAAACAGCTTGGAATTTCCAGAACAAGGTGATGAATAATTGTTCCATATTTACTGCCAAAATAAATACAAAATTCACAACAATATATGAGAACAAAAGGGGGCCCTGACTTATTATTCCATTTGAAGTTCAGAAAGCAATAGGATAATACCCAAAATGAATCACCTGCATTAATCACCCCCACTCCAAAGTTACAATACATATCTATATAGACACATATATATAAAGTTACAAATCAGGCAGTACCCCTCCCATATTAAATTTGAAACTTCAAAAATTAAAACATTTCACGTATGTTTTTTAATGATTTTGTTCTCAAATCCAAAACGCAAAGAGTTCAAAAAAAAAACTCCATTCCACTGGGATAATGTGTTAATCTACAATGCCTTCTTTCAGAAGGTTCTGTTTTCTTTTGTATTTCTTAGGTCTTTAATATCCTTCTAGTGACCAACATATAGAAATAAATAGAATTTGAAAAAAGAAAAAATAAATACGTCATAAATATAAACTAAATACTCCAAATAATACTTCTCATATGAAAACAAAGGATAAAATTTTGATTAGTTATAGGTATGCTCATTGCATTCAAGTATCCATATTCCATAGGATAAAAGCCTTTTGTTCAAAAGTATCCATATTCCATAGGATAAAAGCCTTTTGTTCAAAAGTATCCATATTCCATATGATAAAAGCCTTTTGTTCAAAAGCCTCCCAGCACGCAGTTCAGGTTACCATATTAACCATCAAAATAACCATTGTGAAACATCATTTAATGAACCCTGAAAAGTATAATTTACCCAACAAAAACGAAAAACAAAAGAGTTGCCAGCAATTGGTCCCACAGAAGTTACTGCTCTTTTTTAATAACTTATTCTGACGTATCTCAAAACATAAAAGACAAACCAAAATTCCACACACACGGATCTATACTACTAACTACACTCCAATACAAAACCAACAACTCAAATTGTCGAAAGAGTGAAAAAGTGTGAGAAACAATGCAATTCAAGCAAGTAAATGTATCCATCCGACACCAAACTATAACAAGGCACCAATGCCTGAAACACCTGTGATTCCTAATAAAATCCATGACCCTTAAATTTCTCAACAAAAACCCATTAATTAGTAAAATAATATCAAAATTCCAATGAGACAACCCAACAATCAATTCTTGGATAGTCTAATCAGTTACACTGATGAAATAGATGCACAAAATTATAGCCTAATCAGTTACACTGATGAAATAGACGCACAAAATTATAGCTTGACCCACGTGATCAGAACTTGAAACGAGTTCAAAAGCAATATATATACAGAGGGATGCAGAATTAGAGAGAGGGGGGCGAGGCACAAATTCCAGCAAAACTACAAGAGAGATAATATAATTTTACGATCGTCAACAACTATAACCAAATTCACAAGAAAATGTACATTTAGAGAGAGAGATTTCCGCTAACCTGCACAATAGAACGAGAGAGATACAAAGATAGAGCGAGAGAGAGAAGATCATACCCAGCTTCAAGGAGGAGAGGAGTGCCCGACCATTTTGCTCGAAGCGAAACCTGAACATTTTTTGGGCGTCGCGGATCGGCAAGAGATGGTGCAATTCCACTAAGAAAGGAGAGTGTCAAGATGATCAGAAGACAGCCCGAAACCCTAATTCCTGTGTTCTTTACCATTGTTCTTGTATGACCAGAAAAAACCCTAGATCTGGTCCCTGACGCCAATACATGCAGCACCCTGCATCGACGTCATTGGTGTATCGAGCTTAAAAACGGCGAGGTTTTGATTTAGTGAGGGCGTCGTGCGTATTTGGTGGTTTTTGATAACCTTGACTGCAGTTTACATGACAAAATCCATGCCGCTGACTTTCCTGTATGTTTGCGAAGCAGATCAACGTTCGTATCCGTTAGGACCTGTTTTGATAAAATGCGGTGTTAATATTTGTACCTGTTAATATTTGAACCATTTCCATAGATATATGGATGAAATTTTTATATATTCTATGATTTTATAAAATCAAAATAAAGCCTTACCTCGTAGCCTCATCCGGCAGCACTTTCGGCATCGGCTCTAAAATTAATTTCCAATACAATAAAATTTGAAATTCAAAAAATAGTGCAGATCCTAAGGATGTATGAACACTTAATTTTACAGCAAACTGAATGGTCTAGATGATTTGATGCAATGTACACTATTTTTAGAATTTGAAATTCTAATGTATTTGCACAACCATAATTTTCAAGTTGAGATGATAGATTTAAAGGTTTTTCAACACTTGCATGGTAATTTTTGATGAGTTATAAGGTGAGGCTTTACCTATTTCGATAGTGCTGCAGTCCTATCAAATATATATATATACACGAGTAATAATCGTATGAGACCCTCCCACACTCATGTGTATAGAACTTCAAAGAATCACCATTAAATTTGGCACAGATCTCTAAAAATGTTATCACATAGGTGTGGGACTAACTTTTCTAGATATCTATGCCAAATTTAATGATCATCCTTTAGGATCCTACACACATAGATGTGGGAGGATATCACAAAGTCATTTCCCTAATATATATATATATATATATAGAAAGATATTACAAAATGCCTATAGGCGAAAATAAACAATGATTTCGCCTACATCATCACCGTCCAAAGTTTATCGTACGGTCACGATTATCCGATAGTGTTTCATTTTTCATTTATTTTCTACAATCGGAATGATCTGAAATTTAGAGTGTGTGTTTATCAAAAATAGGCGAATCTATAGGCGAATCTATGAAAAATGTCAAATGAAATAAATTGACCAAAATACCCCCAAAAGTTTCAGGGGTATTTTGATCAATTTTTTTCATGAATTAATTTTTTATATTTTTATTAAATGCGTCTTACTAATATGTATTGACGCTCCAAATTTCAGATCATTCTGAGTTGTAAAAATAAATAAAAAAATGAAACACTACTGGATAATCGTGACTATGTAATAAACTTTGACGGTGATGAGGGTAGACGAAATCACTATTCATTTTCGCCTATAGACGTTGGGAAGACTTTTCCATATATATATATATATATATATATTATAATATTATAAAATATATATTATAAATAGTATCCTTAAATTAAATTTTATAATAATATAATGATATATTACTGTATTATAATATCATAATATTAGACAATGTTAATAAATGAAACCATTTACCTTTGGTATAGGGATGTCATAATTATTTACAACCATCCGATGTGAAATCCAGTAGCTTGGGTGTGTCACAAAGTTCGAGAAAATGCAGCCACCTAATTTCACATCCAATGGTCAAGATTGATTGCGACCATCTCGTACCAAGATAAATGGTTTCATTATGAATTTTCCCTTATTACAATATGTAATATTATTACATATTATTATACTATTATATTATAATAAATTAGATAATATAATAATATTCTATATATTATATTATTATATGTAATATAATGTATTACAAAGGTATATTATAATAAATTAATATATTATGATAGTATACTAATATTATATGGAAAAAGTTTATATAGAGCTTAGGCTCTAAATAATCAAATTAGAGCCTACTTCAAAACATTCACTAGAAGAGGTTGTTTTGATGCACGTACATCATCAAATTAATCGTCTCGACATCAAGATGCATGGATATAGAAAATAAATAAATTTCAATTTTTGAAAATAGTGCATCTTGTAAAGCATTTTTCGACCATCAATTTTTAAGATTTTGAAAGTTTTCATAGATCTGATTGATCTTTAAGCTTTAAATTTTATAACTAAAGATGAAAATATAATTTAAAGCCATCACAAAACTTTCCCCGCATTGAAAAACATTTCTCGACACTATTTGAATGTGAGCTCGAATTTGATTGTTTAAGAGCGTCGGTTCTATACAAACCAATGGCATGACTTTCACGGAATATATTATTCTTATAATATATTATAATTATATTATAATATTATATTATATATTATTATTACGCTATGGCCCCAATGTTAACTTTCACCGACGACATGAGTTTTACTGAAGGTAGTTGCACTGTGTACCCCAACGCAGTTGCTTTCCTTAAGAAAATAGTGAATGGGGATAACTTATGTATCGATTTGCTTTCCTTAAGAAAATAGTGAATGGGGATAACTTATGTATCGATTTTCCCCTATGTTTACTGTTCTCAAAGAAGTGAAAACTATAGTAATAGAGAAAGCCAGACACTTTTACCGCTTTACACAGTTATCAAACACCCTTTTTTTTCAATATAATTGTGTACAATTGTGCCCACACTTGTTTCCAATAATGAAAAAAAAGTTCACACCTCCACAACATTTTTCCTTTTTTCTTTTTTTGGCATGGTTCATCTGGTTGTACTATGCTAATTGATTTAAAAAATATATCATTTAATTAAAATCATATTTTCATCTTTGCTTTTATAAAACATAGTTTTTATTTAAATTTTGGATATTTATAACTATGCTAATAAAAATTATTTTGTATTTATTTTTGTTGTGGAGTCATTAATGTTATATTCATGGTATAATTTACTTAATAACCTTTTAAAAAAAAATTGGTTTGTTTTTTGGACAAAATGAAATGCTCTTGTCGAAATATCTATTTATAATAAGGATAATCAGCATAAAATCCTTCCGTAAATATTTTTTTATTAAAATTTGGGTTTTTGCTCACTCTTATTCCATCTCCATGACATTTTTTTTTTTTTAAGGGGATGAAACATAAGATAAATTTTTAAGGATAATTGAATATAAAATCTAGACCATTTATCATAAGACGCCATAACAAATCAAAAGATATTTTAAGCAATGAGACTTTTGGAATGAGAGTTACAGACTTTAAAAGAGAATTAGGGATTTTTTGAAATTTAGATCGAAAAATGAGAGCATTAAAAAGTCTTTAACTCATGCTCCTACCTATTATCCATTACATACATAAGAAATAGATGTTTTATATGTGGGTACAGGGCCTCAATCTATATATCGAAGTAAGGTCCACCTCCAAAATCCAGGAAAATATAGTTTTGACGATGGGAAACCTTTTAATTGATCATCTCGACCCCAAGATATATGGATACAAAAGAAAACTACATATTTCAAATCTCAAAGATAGTACATCTTATAATGCATTATCTAAACCATCATTTTTCAAGATTTTCACATGTTTATAGATCTATTTAATCTGAACCATTTTTTTAGTTTTAAATTTTATAATTAGAATTAAAATACATTTTCAAGCCATTCTAATAATTTTCGATATCAAACTTATATCTTGAGATAAATTTTGGAGGTACCTTTCTTTGATTATTTAATAGTTGCAGCCTTATGCGAACCACACCAGAAATTAAAGTTCCAAATTGGGTCTCATATTTTCATTTCAAAATTGGTCTGTATCCTCTCCACCATTGATAAGATTGCCCATCATCCTCCCCTCTCTCTCTCTCCAATTTTTTTTTAAACCAGGTCAAGTCGCCAAGTCTTATCCCTCTCTCTCTCTCTCTCCAATTTTTCTTTTAAACCAGGTCAAGTCGATTGACTCAAGGTCTTTCACTACAAGATCCAATTCTAATTTCCAAGTCTGTAGGCCATGGCTAAAATGGTTTGTAGTGGTAGAAACTCCATCATATTTGCTATTTCTTTCAAATGGAGCCCCCTTTGAAATTCAAACTTCAACAAAGTTCTATGGAGCTTATCTATTGTGTAAACGAAAAGGGTTACAGCTTTACATTATGATGGTGTAAATTTGATATTATATTAAAAAATATCTTATTTTTAATTATTATCTTAAAAAATGTGTCAAATATATTATCGCGCAATTAAAGCAAATAGTGTAAAGTGTAAACCGTAAAACATCACATCCTTCTTCAAATAAAGTTGCCGCCTTGTACAAATCGCACCATTTAAACATTTCTTTCAAAGCCCCCTTGTCACATGTTCATTTTAGGCTGGACTCGCGCAAAAGCTTAGGATCAATGATTGAAAAAATTATCAACCAATTTGAAATCACCTGAGTTAGATTAAACCAGGGGCTTTATTGGGGGATCACCTCAAGTAGTTCATTGTGGGGGTGGTTCCCCTCATGACCTTTTTATTGTTTCTGCTCTTTGGGTCGACTTGGGATCAATGAACTGAATCAGGAATCCACGAAATAACTCACCCTGGCAACTGCTCGAGTCAACCATTTTTTCGGATTTTGAACACTACTCAAAATAGATAATTTTTTACACTTGATTATTTCTTTCAAAGTTTCAAACTCTCTGTTTCGAGCACGTATACTATGCTCCTCGGGAGTATCGTTTGTTTCTACTGCCTCGGTCAGAAGACCTATGCTCCTTGGGAGTATAGTTTGTTTCTACTGCCTCAGTAAGAAGACTTATTTGGAAAGATTTTTTCAATCTGAAATTTTGAAAACCACTTGAGCATTACTAGATAATTATTCTCAAAAAAAGAAAAAATTAGAGTTTTTCTAGCACTTAGATTTCGCTATCTAAAAATTGGATGGTATTTGTTCAATCTCTTGATATTATTTTTTCAAGTGCATGACAGCCACGGAAATTTTTCTTTCATGGAAATATATACAATGAGACCATTTATCTTGGACACAAGGTGATCACAATTAATCTTGACTATTGAATGTGAAATTAGATAGCTACATTTATTCCATTGACAAAGCTCAAACTTCAAAAAAAAATTTCTCGAACTTTATAACACACTCAAGCTATCAAATCTCATATCGAATGCTGGTAAGCAATTGTGACCTCATTGTATAAAAAATAAATAGTTTCATTTCATGATATTGTCAAAAAAAAAAAAAGTTTCATTGTATCTAGGTGGGTATTACCCGAGAAAGTAAACCAATATTCTCAGCCCGGAGATTAGATTATCTTTTGGCCCCTCTCTCTCTCTCCATTTGAGTTTTTGATCGATCCAACTTTTCAGCACCTCACCAAATATCCATTAAAACAATCTTTCAAATTTTCCTTAGACCACTCGTACCCTAGCTAACGTCTATACTTTTGTTCTCACCTAAAGTATTAAAAAACCATTAACGATTTAATAAAACGAGCAGGGGATCGTCATCCCCATTGAATTACCCCAAAAAAAAACCTTTTTCACCATCGAAAAATATTCCCCATAACAAAAATTGTTATTGTTGCGACTATTTCTTAAGACACAAGACCTCAAGGTCATGACTAAAGTATTTCATACAAGTTCAAGGTGAAGCCAATCTCTCTCTCTCTC